GATAGTGGGTTGCTGTGTGGGCAGGAGGGGTTAGCTGGGAAAAGTGGAGATGAAATAAACAAAAAGAAGAGGTGGAAAAGGATGGCTAGATGGGGGAGGGAGCAAAATGAGAGGAGGGAGTCAGAAAATGAGGCCGTGGGAGATAAGAGGAAGACATTGGAGGAGATGGAGTTGGATGATCAGGGAGAAATATGTGCTGATGAGTCTGCTAAGAGAAGTAGATTATGTGTTGGTCCAGGGATTGAAACCCAAATGTTGAAAGTAACGGAGGTGGTTCACAAGCCACCCTGTGAAGAACAATGAAAATCCTAAGTTGGAACTGTTGGGGGATCGGCAACCCCTGTACAGTTAGCTCCCCCAGGGAGCGGTGTTGGAGTATTTTGCCAAACATTGTCTTCATTATGGAGATAAAAATAGATGCTGGTCGTTTGGAGGCGGTTCGGAACAAATGTGGATTTACAGAGGGCATGTGTGTCAGCAGTAATGGCTTAGCAGGCGGATTGGGGTTATGGTGGAGGGATATGAAGGTTAGCACTGTGTCGTTTTCTGCTAACCATATTGCAGTTGACATTTGAATAGTAATAATATTGCTCAATGGAGGGCAGTAGGTGTGTATGGATGGCTTGAGAAGGAGAATAAACAGAAAACTTGGCAACTTATCAGAAGTCTTCGGGAAAACACACAGACTCCAATTGTATTATTTGGAGATTTTAATGAGATTTTGTGTGAAAGGGAGCGCCTTGACAGATTCATTGCGTGTGATCAATGGTGTACTTTGTTCCCGGATTATGAGGTAACACATTATCTGATCAATGTTAAGAGATCTGATCATGCTCCTATTTTGTTGCAAGCTGGGATGGGGGAGAGGAACAAAAAGAAAAGAGAATTTTCAGGTTTGAGAAGTATTGGTTTTCAAGTCCAGATTGTGCTGAAGTGGTGAGGGAAGCATGGAATCATTGTGCTAGTAATTCTGTCCAGGAAAAGATTGCCATGTGTGCTGATTCATTAAGCAAGTGGGCATGGAATACGTTTGGCAACGTGAAAAAGAAGATCAGGAATGCCGAAGAGAGATTACAGGAGGCTCAGCAAGGGGTAATGGATAATCCCACCATTGAACTTTGCAGAGCTATCTCAGAAGAACTAGATGAACTCCAGCTCCTTGAAGAATCATATTGGCATATAAGGGCAAGAACTAATGAGCTTCGGGATGGTGATAAAAACACCTCATATTTTCACCATAAGGCGAGTGCTCGGAAGAAGAAGAATCACATAGCAGGTTTAGAGAACAGTGCTGGGCAATGGATTCAGGAGGAAGCGGGGGTACAGCAGATAATCACAGATTATTTTTCTGTGATTTTTACATCTGATGGGGTGAATAATACAGAGGCTGCCCTTGCAGGGATTCAACACAGAGTGACAGAGGAAATGAATAGCAGTCTCAATAGAGAGCCTGAAGCTGAGGAGATCCGTATTGCTTTATTTGATATGCACCCTAACAAAGCTCCGGGGGTTGACGGTATGCATGCTCTCTTTTACCAAAAATTTTGGCATATTATTGGTGACGACGTTGTTAGTTTTATCACTAATTGGTGGTTCGGTAATATTGATATTTCGGATATAAGCAAAACTTGCATTGTTCTTATCTCGAAGTGTCATGAGCCCGGCAAGATCACTGAATTTCGACCAATTAGTTTATGTAATGTCGTGTACAAAATTATCTCTAAAATGCTTTCAAACCGTATGAAACCATTTCTTCAGAATGTCATTTCTCCTGAACAAAGTGCCTTTGTTCCGGGTAGGCTTATCACAGATAATGCTTTGGTGGCTTTCGAGATTTTCCATGCAATGAAGAGAAGGGGGGAAGGCAGACATGGGACTATGGCTTTAAAACTTGATATGATGAAAGCTTATGATCGAGTTGAATGGGGTTTCTTTTATAAAGTCATGTTGAAGTTGGGTTTTAACAGTAGGTGGTGTGACAAAATTTTAGAGTGCTTGTCTTGCTATAATTTTACCGTGAAGATTAATGGAGAGATGGTCGGAAATATTGTTCCACAACGGGGTCTTCGTCAAGGGGATCCTATGTCTCCCTATTTATTTCTCATGGTTGCCAATGCTTTTTCGGGTTTATTAACAAAAGCTACTACTGATAATATTATCCATGGAGCAAAAATTTGTAATGGCGCTCCTCGGATTTCTTACCTCTTTTTTGCATATGACAGCATTTTATTTGCCCGTGCAAATTCTGTCGAGTGTTCAAAAATTGCAGACATCATTAAGGTTTATGAGCAAGCTTTGGGACAAAAAATAATCTGCAGAAATCAGAGGCTTCTTTCAGTATACGGCTTGCCAGTGATGTTAGAAGAAATATCTGTGAACTGTTGGGGGTGAAGGAAGTGGACAGACATGAGAAGTATCTGGGAATCCCTACTGTTATTGGGAAATCGAAAAAAGCGGTTTTTGCAGGGCTTAAGGAAAGAATATGGAAGAAGCTGCAGGGTTGGAAGGAAAAATTGCTCTCTAAGCCGGGGAAAGAAATTCTTATAAAAGCTGTAGCACAGGCGATCCTGACTTACTTAATGGGGGTTTTCAAAATTCCTGACAACCTATTAGATGAAATACATTCTATCCTGGCTAGAATCTGGTAGGGTAATGGAGTTGAGAGGAAAATACATTGGAAGTCTTGGGATTTTTTATGTCATCCAAAGGCGAAAGGAGGTATGGGATTCCGCAACTTAAAGGTGTTTAATCAAGCTCTTTTGGCAAAACAAGGGTGGAGAATCTTGCATGGGGGAGACTCACTGTTACATCGTGTACTCAAGGCTTGCTACTTTAAAAACAATAATTTCCTTGAGGCGAGAAGAGGTTTTGACCCGAGTTATACATGGCGGAGCATTTGGGGGGCAAAAGCCCTCCTGCTAGAGGGATTATGTTGGCGAGTTGGTAATGGGCTGAAGATTTCAGCGTGGAATGACAGATGGCTTCCTGTTGGTGATCGGTTTGTGGTTCCGTCTCCTACCCCCAATGGTCTCTTTGACCCGGATCTAACAGTAGCAGAGATGATTGATACCTCTTCAGGCTCTTGGGACTTAGACTGTGTCTCTCGGTATATGCAACCTCAAGATGTGCCCCATATTCAGTCAATCCCATTACACTCTCGTGCTCAGGACGACATTCAATTTTAGGGCCTAACGAAGGATGGGGTCTTTTCTATTCGTACTGCATATTGGCTGGGCATTCTTGGGTACGGTGAGTCGGGAATGGGTTTGGAGGAGATGACATGGAAGAGAATTTGGAATATGGCGTGTCCACCAAAGCTAAAACATTTTATCTGGCGAGTGTATTCGAATTCCATGGCTGTAAATAAGGAGCTTCACCGTCGTCACATCACAGCTGATCCTCGTTGCCAGCACTGCTCAGAACTTGTGGAGTCCCTATCACATGTGTTGTTCTGCTGCAAAGCTACGCTGCTTGCGAATGAATGTCATGATCCCAGAATTCTGGCAGCAGGCTTGGTTAAATATACTGAGGAGCATAATCTTTATTCAAGCCGTGTGTTTGGAGGGGTTCCCAAGTGTACGTTGTCACCATGTGCCTGGGTGAAGCCACCTGTAGGAGTGATTAAACTGAATTCGGATGCTGCGATTTTAAACTCTGGCATAACGGGGTTCGGTGTGGCGGCCAGAGACTCGAATGGTAAGCTGATGTTCACGGGATCAAGAAGCTTTGCTGGTGCTTGGGATCCGTTGGTTGCAGAGGCTGTTGCTGTCCTCTTTGGTTTGGAATTGGAAATTCGTTTTGGTTATTCAAACGTGTGGATGGAGAGCAATGCTTTGGATGTGATCCAGAAAATCAACAAAAAACAGGAAGGGCTTAGCTATGTTTTTGCTTATATTAGTCGTATTGTTAATCTGTTGCCTGCTTTCAATTTCTTTCATTCATGTTAAGAGAGGGGGTAATGTTGTGGCACATTTACTTACTAGATCGTGCCTTGCGGACTGTGTTGAACTTGTGCGTTTTGATCCGTTTTCGGATGGCATTCAAAAGCTAGCGGAAATGGATGTTGGTTAATATATTTCCCTTCTTGTGTTAAAAAAAAAAATTTAATATAAAATATTATCTTTTGAGATTAAGAATTTTATCTAAACATAAAACAAACAAATTTTATCACATAAATACCAAAAATATGTTTTAAAAAGTAAAAAAAAAATCATGCATCACATGGGTTTCATGTGGTATCTATATATTTACGTATAAAATATGGGTTAAAACATTGAATTTGTTTCCTTTTCATATATCAACAGGTATGTTGGGTACAAATACATGATATTAATTAAACTCCTATTAATGGATGTCATCAAGCTTAAAAAAAAATATTCTACGGGTGCTACCCAAGACCAAATCTCAGCTACTAAACCTTTGTGAGTTTCTCTACACCAAAAAAAAAAAAAAAAAATTCTCAATGGTAGCCTTCAACTATTGCTTTTTCTCATTGGTAGCCATTTTTTTTTTCCGTTTATCTTTGTAGTCCTATACTTTTAAAATTTCTCAGCTATGACCTTATTAATGTTTTCTTTTAAAAATTCTGTTAAATCTAACATTACTCTAAACCAAGGTTAACTTTATCATCCATCCAATTATCCAAACCACAATTACCCATCATCATTTTTATCCCCAAAGTCCTAATTTAAGGCTTGATATTCTCTTTCAAAGATTAACGCCATAGTCTTGATACTCTTAATTATTCTCTCCCATCAAAAATTAACACCTTGATTTCTTTGGTGGATGTTTTAGTGGGTGGCCAATTTCGTGGGGGTGTTTTGTGTTGGTGGGGTTTTCGTGGGTGACCGACCACCCACCACGAAATTGGATACTCACCAAATACCCACCCCAGAAACTCCCAACCTATAAAAACCACTAGTCCACTACCCATGAATAACACCCCTAACGAAGCCACGAAAACAAAAAAAACACAGAATGAACCATAATTCAATAACAACATGGCAACACCACCATTATCACGGCACCACCTCAAACAATGGCGGAGGTTTGTTAGGATGAAGAAATTGGTATTTGTGGGGTTTTGGGGTATTTCTTTGTTGGGGTATATTTTGTTTTGTTTTGTTTTTTTTTTTTTTTAAAATAAGAAATAGTTGTGTACCAATGAGAATAAAAAAAAATACTGGCTACCATTGAGAAAAAACAATAGTTGAAGGCTACCATTGAGAATTTCCCAAAAAATAATTCCGTACCTATTATATATAGTTCTGTTTTGATACAAACCTGTTCACAATGGAGCGCATATAATCCCCTGCTGACCCAGACTACATTAATGAAAATAGTATGGTAGGGGGAGGTGTACCATGTGCATGGTACACCTCCATCATATCTCTCACCATCTTCCCCTTTTGATATAAAAAAAAATAAAAAAAAATAATATATATATATATATATACATATATATATATATATACATATATATATATATATACATATATATACATATATATATTTAATTGAAAACTCTCCCTCCTAATTTTCAAACCTTTCCATCCTTATAAATATGCAATCAATTTGATCCTTCCTTTTATAAAACTTCCAGAATCAAAATTCTTCCCCAAATTTGGTATTACAGTAATTCTAGAGAGAAATATATTCTATTCAATTTTTTAGAGAGAGAGAGAGAGAGAGAGAGAGAGAGAGAGAGAGAAAACAGAGCAATTACAGAGATCGTTACCGAGAGATTTTCAACAATTTTCTTGTCTTATCAATCCAAATTTTGACATTATTCTGATGCAAGATTTGTCAATGAATTTACTAAAGAGAATGATGGCATTGATAATGACGATGATGGAGAAGAATCTGAAGTCTTCGTGAACAGCGATGAAGGTAATGCTGCTGATTATTTGTGATTTTTATATTTTAATTGTTTGATTTTATTTTTTTACATTCTATTTTGATAAATTATATTAATTGAAGAATAATTTACTTTTTATTTGTGATTTTTATATTTTAATTGTTTGATTTATGTCTAATGTTGATGATGAACTTCGTTTTGATTTATTGTTATGCTTGTTGTAATTTTTATTTGCACTGAAATCAATGTATATATTGTATGTACTATATGTTCTTTTGTTAACGTCGTATGTTCATTTAATAAAAACTAATGTTCTTTATTGTTTTATGTTGATCTTATGTTCTTTTACATATCATGTTCTTTTTATATTAGATCATGTTCTTTTCATTTGATCGTATGTTCTTTTGATTTGTCTATATGTGCTGCTAATTTTATATAATGCTCTTTTATTGAATACATTTGTGATACAGGTTTCACAGAAGATAAGGAATCCGAATTACTTTATAAAAAAGTCAAGTCTGATCTAGAAGCCTATGAGTTGTATAACAATTATTCATTCAAACACGGATTTGGTACCCGAAAAGCGAAGCTAGAGCGTAGGGCAGATGGAGTGACCATTCGAAAACGTACAATTACTTGCTGTTATGAAGGTTTTAAGAGAGTGAAGAAGTTTGGCGAAGAACCTAAAGTTTACCAGAAAAGAGACTTTCGAACAGGATGTAAAGCTTTCATTCAGTTTGATGTTGACAAGGAATCTGGATTGTTTATTGTGGCTAAACATCATATGGTACATAATCATAGTAGAGTTCCGATTTCAAAGAGGCATATGATTAGGTCACATAGGAAGGTATGTGATCATTATGTCATAATTATATGTATAATTGATTACGTGAAAATATCAGATTAATTCAAAGTAAAAAGAACATTGTAGTATTTCATACTGTACATTACATGTTTTTAAAAAGAACATGATAACTGATTTATTGATAGTAAAGAACATTTTATTATTTCATAATGAACATCATATATTAATTAAAAGAACATTATTATGTTACAGGTTTCTGAGGAACAAGTTGGAATGCTTAATAGTCTAATTGAAAATGGTATTAGCGTGGCAAATGCAATCTGTGTTTTAAAGAATCAAGTAGGTGGGGAGGTCAATCTTGGGTTTCTTTATAGTGATGCATATAATGTTTTAGGTTCTAAGAAGAGATCAAAGTTTGATGGCTGTGATACAAAGCAACTACTCATTTATTTCAAGCATCGAAAGTCCAATGAGTATGACTTTTATTATGATTTTGATGTCGATGAAGAGGGTCATTTGCAGTCTTTCTTTTTTCGTGATAATCGGATGAAAGTTGATTATGATGCTTTTGGAGATTTGTTGGTTCATGATACTACATATCGTACAAACAAATATGCTATGATATGTGGTCCATTTGTGGGCATGAATCATCATAATAACAACGTTATGTTTGGTGTTGGGTTTTTGATTAATGAAACGTGGGAGTCCTTTGTGTGGTTATTCAATACATTTTTGAGATCCATGGGAGACAAACATCCAGTTACAATAATGACTGATCAAGCTATGGCAATGGCTAAAGCAATTAGGATAGTATTTCCCAATAGTCGTCATCGGTTATGTACTTGGCATATCAATGAGAATGCGAAGAAAAACATCAAAGGACTCAGACAAAAAGAAGGGTTTACTGACCTTTTTGATATTGTGCTGAAGTATACTGATACAGTTGCAGAGTTTGAACATTATTGGTCAAGGTATTATTATATTTCTATGTCATGTTTTTTTTTTATTTATTATTTTTATTATATATATATATATATATTGATGTTCTTTTTTGTTTTACATTATGTTCTTTTTTTAATGTACTGATGTCCTCTTAATTTCTAAATTTTGTTCCTTTTTAATGAATTGAATGTTTTTATTATTATGAACTAATGTTCTTTCTATAAAGATGTAAAATTCTTTTTTTTTTTAAATATTTCATTCTTTTTAACAATTGTTTTAATTTATAATGTTCTTTTATTTTTTTATATGTTCTTTACAAAGTAATAGTATGTTCTTTTTATTGACATTATGTACTTTTTCATTTTCAGCATGCTGGACAAGTTTCAATGCCAAGACAACAAATGGATTATGAATCTGTATAACATTAGAGAGATGTGGTGCCCTGCGTATTCTAAGGACTACTTTAGTGGAGGTATTTTGTCTTCTTAAAGGAGTGAAACAACAAACAAGTCCGTTTCACGTAGGCTTCATATTACTCATGGTCTTTGTGATTTTTATAACTCTTTCATTGAGGTTGTTGATGAGTGGAGGGGTAAAGAAGGCAATCATGACTATAATAGTATCACTGTTAATCATCATTTAGTTTGGGCCGATATTGGGTTATTGGAGCATGCAAGAAAGATTTACACTATTGCATTGTACCTAATGTTTGAAGATAATTTCATTAGTGGTGTACCTTGCATTGCTAATGTTATTGCAATGCAGCCTCCTCTATATGAATATCATGTTGGTCATCCTAAGAAGGATTTAATAAAGCATATTGTTGCTTTTGATGAGTCCATGGTTACAGTTGATTGCACTTGTAAGTATTTTGGTGAAGTTGGGCTACTTTGTAAGCATTCCCTTCGTGTTTTACATTTGAACAATATCACCTACATTCCATCGAGATATATTGTGAAGAGATGGACAAAAGGTGCAATGTGCGCTAGGATTGATGATAATGATGTGGCTCATGAAGGTATTACTCCTCCGAATGTTTGGAGGTTACATAACATTAGGACCTTCATACGTATTGTTGATCGTGCGCAATATGATACGAGGACTCGAAATGTTATTGAGGAGTCTATTGATGAGTGTACAAATAGGATTAATTTGTTATTGAAACAAGATGATGAAAATGTTGTGCAAGAATCTGTTGAGAATCAAGAAGGTGAAGTTGTTGAGAATCAAGAAGGTGGTAATTTGTTGGAGCAAGTTCCAATTGAAAAACCTGCTGAAAGTGAAGTTGTGAATGAAAATCAACAAGAAGTGAAAGACCCGATAAAGAGAAGGAAGAAAGGATAAAGAAATACTAGGCTTAAAAGCACACAAGAAAAAATATGCAACAAGTTGAAAGGACAAAAGATCAAGTCCTGGAAAAAAAAAAGAGTTCAAAAGGAGCTTCAAAAATGAAACAAAAGGCTCAGTCTACAATTAAGGTATTTGAGCTCCTTTTAAATCTTGAATGTTCTTTTATACATACTTAATGTTCTTTATAAATCATGAATGTTCCTTTATACATTCTTAATGTTTTTTATACCTACTTAATATTCTTTTTAAAATCTTTAATTTCCTTTTATAAATTCTTGATGTTCATTTTAGTTACATCAATGTTCTTTTTAATTACTTAATGTTCTTTTACTCTATGTCTGACGTTCTTTTAAATTCTATTTTCCTTTTAGGAAGCATTGATTGTACCTTTGAGAAATATTATTGCACATTCGTCTGAATATGGTGGTTCAATAGAGTATTTCGAGCCGGATGATTATTTTGGAGTAAATGTCACCCCTTTTTGAATTTTTCATTGAATTTAATTTGTTCTAAACTTGGATTACTATAATTGTAATAGATTTTTTGGAATTAATATCATTACTTTGAATATTTCATTTTATATATTATTTAACTTGATTGCTTTTTTTATTTCAATAACATAAATTTAATAACAAAACTAAATTACATCTATATATGTTGAAAGATCATATACTTCAAAATGTACATATGTTCCAAAGTAACAAGTACATGATTGTTCAAAATAAAAAGTACAAGTTACTATTTCAAAATAAAACATTAGCATTATATAAAAATTGTTCAAAACTTGTAATCAAACCATACTTCAGCATTGTCATTCACTTCAAATCTGTTCTTGTTTACTCTACTTGTAAGGATTTCATTGCTATAATATATCCTTAGCTTCTTTAGAGCATCAAACTATAAAACAAAAAAGAAAATCACATCAGCAAAAAGGGACATTAGATCTAATAAAAAGAACATTAAACATATTTAAAAGAACATTATGCAAGAATAAAAGAACATATCTTACACTGTCAGCCTTTAACCCACATTCTCATTTCCATTTACCATAATAGGTCTCCATGTGCCTCATTGTGTACACCCCACAATCTACATCGTTCTCAAGTGTTCTCCAAGGCATAGTTAACAAATTCACGTTATAGTTGTTCATTTTCTCATATATCTTGAGGTCTTTCTTTTTACACCATAAAGCAAAGGCATTCAATTGTAAATGATCAACATAATTAATAAAAAAAATATTTGATACATTAGTTATGGGAAAAAAAGTAATGGAATGAATTTAAATTTATTTACATCTTACCATCTTTTCAGGCCAATCATAGTACTTTGAAGAGAATTCAACACCCTCTACAAGTGGTTTGTTGTCTATGATTTCAACTGATTTTGCCTTGGTGTTGATAACCATAACGTATGAATGTAAGCTTGCATCATTTACATTAACGTACACAGGGAAAAAGAACTGACATCATAGAATAAAAAAATAACATTAGTTTTTAGATAAAGAACATCAATTATTAGAAGATAGAACATGTGGACTAAAATAAAGAACATTACTAACTTATAAAAGGATTCTAAATAAGAAAAAAACAACATTATATAGAATTGAGTACATACCAATCGGACACCTTTAACTGACTCTATCTCACAATCAATTAGCCAATAGTCGAGTGTTTCAATAAAATTTGCAAGTCTCTTCTCTTCTGTAACCTCTTGGCTATCATCTTTGTAAGCATCATCCTGACATAGTGTGTTCTAGAGAATAAAAGTGCATTAGTATTAGAAGAAAGAATATTAAGTATTAGAAGAAAGGATATGTATATTAAAAGAAAAAAACATCAATAATAATACATACAAAAATATTATATCAAAACAAATTAAAGCAACAAGACTACTTACATTAGCATTGTTTGGGAAAAAAATTCTCCTCTTTTTCCCTGAAACTTTTTTTGGTCAAAATTAAAGCCCAAGCATCTACTATCTCGTAGTCGATGTGCTCATTACTCCCTAATCTTTTAATCATTTCTCTAGTAATCATGGTGTGACCATCCTCGTAGAGTATTTCACTGACAAATTCAACAAGAATATATAATCAATAATATAATAAACAATATTAGTATATAATATAGTACACTAAGAAAAAAGAGTTGATAACTTACGTTGGAACAAGTTCTTCATCATCAGAATATGCATATTCCAATAAAACATTTATGGATTGCATTGGGGTCCTCTATTAAATGAGAATATTTTGCAAGGTATGGTGACTTGTACACAGCTGCTAACCTTTTTGCTCTTTTTGGAGTCTTAGGTGTATCACTGAAAATGTACATTTGCATTTACTAAAAAGAACATAATTATAATATAAAAGAGCATCTCACTAACAATAAAAGAACATCATCACTAATTAAGCATATACAATATCTAAATAAACTAAACAACTTTCCCTCGAAAATAAAAGAACATCAGACAAAATAATAAAGAACATCTGTTAAATTTATACCTTTCATTCTTTTATTCACCCAATTTTTCTTGAAAAGGACCCTCCTCTTTTTCCTTCACCAGACCATCCTTTTCTTTATCCATCTTTTCTTTTAGCTCACTGTGTTGTTAAATATTAAATAAGGTTAGATAAATATAAATGAACATTACACCAAATCAAAATAAGAAAAAGAACATTCAATAGAAGGTAAACGAACATCACTAGTAGTAAAAAAGAACATCAGCAGGTAATGTTACCTTTGCTCTTTTTGTTCAGCATTTTATTCCATCTTCTTCCTTGTCTTGATCTTTATTTAAAAAATCATCTTTCTTATTTTTTCCATCAATCTCCATTTCATCTTCCTTTTTTCCCTCTTCATATGCTTTGTGTACTTCATCTACCCTTGAAACACTCAATAAAAGTATTAATGGATTAAAAGAACATTATATTTATGATATAAGAACATTACATTTATACACTATTAAGAAAGAACATTACACTTACATTAAAAGAACAATATATTCACAATTAAAGAACATACTCTTTAAATTAAAGAACATCACATTCATACATAAAGAACACATACTATAAATTGAAGAACATTCATTAACATATAACAATTTCATAATCAAGTATTACAATCCAAATGAAAAATATAAATAACTCAAGTACATAAATCAATTTGTTGAAGATTAGTTACCCTTTCTTATCAGAACCAACTTTGTCCTTACTACAAACCATGTCTACTGCATTGCACTCAAACAGTATCTCCGTGAAAACTTTATAATAATCTATATCTTCAAATGTTGGCTCACTGGATGGCAGGGGTGTTGGAGTGAACCTAAGCTTTAGGCTAAGATCACAACCTTCCTTGTCACTTTCAGGTATAATAGATATGGGGATAGTCTCCATAAAGATTAATGGATTAAAAGGTGGAGGAGTCATGTGGTTCTTCTCTTGGTTGATTATCTGTGTAAGCATCTTGACCATGGATTACTTGAAATTTTGCACTCTTAACAACATTGTCTATAATGTCACCAAACCAATCAGAAGCAAAAAATTCAACGTCTTGACTCAACAGTGAACCTCCATCCACCTTTTGCATAGGTGTACTGCTATGGAATTCAGCACCAGGCATTTTGCAACCAGAACACCTTGCCCACATAGCAGATACATTGAACAATGTGTTTTCTTGCTCAAGTGAGGTGTTGTGAAACCTCTCACCCATTTTTAACACATTTGAGAGATTCACAAACTCATTAGCAATTCTCTCGATTGCTTCTCTTATCATCAGAGTATACTCCTGCAAAATTAAAAACTTTCTATTGTTTATAAAAGAACATTCTATATATAATAAAAGAACATTATTAATAATATAAAAGAACATTTTTAATTATAAAAGAATATCATAATGTTCATAAAAGAACATTTTATATTTAATGTTTTTCAAAAGTACCTGCAAGTTTGAATGCTCTTTTTGATACCATTGTTGATTGGTTTGATGATGTTGTTTCTGCTGCTGTTTTTCATCTTTTTGTTGTTGTTGTTGTTGTTGTTGTTGTTGTTGTTGATCCAACTTTTCTTCTTGTTCTTCAGTCTTCTTCAGTTGTTGGTGTTGTTGTTGTTGTATGTCTTCTTCTCTCTCCATTGAAACTTCTTCTATGACCATTTGTTGTTGGTCGTCCATAACTAATGGAGACTGAATCCTTTCCAACAAAAGTCATGTCCAAACCCCAATTTCATCTCAAGCTTAATCCTGTTTTTTATTAAGTCAGAATTCCACACTTTAAGGAGTGGGAATTCCCTTAGGTTTGTCAAAGTGTGCCTTTGAAGTCTATCAAAATAACATACCTAAAAAAACACACTTAATATTTTTTTAAATAAAAGAACATTATTCAATATAAAAACGAACATTACATCATAAATAACGAACATATGTTTAATATAAAAGAAAACATATATCTTATTAAAGCATATGATAATACTTACCATCAAGAATGGAAGTGGCCCACAAAAATACCTTGATTTGTTCTCCTTCCAGTCTTCAGTCCTTTTAATTAGGCTTTGAATAGTGTATTCAGCCCAATTGTAATGTGGGATTTCATCAACATCAATTGCTGTTTTCAAAAATCTGTAAGAAAAAGAATATTAGTTTAGTAAAAAAGAACATCAATGCTACTTTCAAAATCAACATGAATATATTTATGTAATATTTATACCTTAAAAAAGGTTGTGGGTTTGAAACATGCTTTATGCATGAATTGACAACCAAAACCAAAAAACTCCTCATCCAATTATCGTCAAGTGGATTTTTTACCAAATTTTCAGATAATGATGTTAAAGTAGGAATTTTGCCATCATGATATTGCTTGAATTTGACCACCATTTCATTCAATTCATTGTCTTCAACCTTGGCTTCCACTATCTTTTTACCACCAATAGGTACCCCATAAACCAAATGCACATGTATAGGCTCAATACTCATTGACCTATTTCTATCACATAAGATACACAGTCC